TACGTCGTGTGCCATGTGGGGCCTGTAGTAGTGCTTTGCAATAACAGTGAGCGTCTTGTTGCTACCGAAGTGTTCTGCGTATAGAACATTGTGGTATTCATCGATTAGTAACTGGAGCAAAGGAGGGTAATTGGGTACCCCGATTTTCGTTGATCCTTTCCGGTACGTGATGTCACTGTCCCAATGTAGCAGGTGTCGCTTTTCTGACGAGGGAATGTCAGGGTCAATGGTCTACCTATGTGTGAAGAGTCCCTTGAGTGGTGGGTTCATCCCTTCGACCTGGATAGCGGCAATGTGTGCATGCCGGCTAAGGGCGTTTGCTTTGTTTTTGTGGCCAGGCTTGTACACGATGTCGTAGTGGAAGTGCATCTCAAGGAAGTCAATCCACCAGACATGCCGCCTGGAGAGGTTTGGCTGTGTCTTCAAATATTCTAGACTGCAGTGGTCGGTGAAGTTGGTTGTTTTTTGTCTTTTGAGATAACATCTCCATGTTTTGAAGGCGATGATCATAGCAAGGGCTTCTTTGTCATGTATCAGGTAGTTAAGTTTTGCCCAGTGCAAATTTTTGCTGAGGTAGGCGATTTGGTTGCAGTTTATTCCCCTTGTCTTGCATCAAGACTGCTCCCACTGCCTGGACGCTAGCGCCAGCTTCGATGACGTAGTCGCGTTCGGGGTCTGGCAAGATGAGTACGGGTGTGGACGTGAGTGCTTATTTCAGATGCTCATCGGCTTCCTGATGCTTTGATTCCCACTTATAGGGCGTGTTCTTCTTCTGCAGATTCTTGAGTGTTGCGGCGAATTTCGTGTACTGTGGCACAAACATCTTGTAATATTTAGCGAAGCCTAGGTGTGAGAGTACGACCCCGTTCCATTCCTCTCTCCTTTCCATATTCCCTTTCCATTCCATTCCTGATCCATTTGGTTTTTATCTCATTCCATTTGGATTCCTATTTCTCCTTTGCCATCAACCTTTGGTTTATCCTGTTATTATCATTATATCACCGACCAGGCTCGGGATGTACTGGTACGCTATATCTGGCGTAATCCTGCCGTAGTCCCTTAAAGCCAATAGCCTCGTGTGGCTATACGCAGGGTGATTCTATTTTCTAGAATGGTCTATTCTCTTGGGATAGGATAAACCTGGTTACCTGATGTACTTTGGAAGTATAAAAGCGCCTTGTACTGATTGGTAGTGCAACCTTTCCTCGACACATTCGATCCTGTGACACTTGGTATCAGAGCTTTTCTCACTCGGCCACGCTCAACAAAGCAGCAGCAGCAGGAAAACCTGCCTCGAAAAACCGCCGGGGGCGACCAATTCGACGCCGATTCTAGTAAGCACCAGCTCCGCGATTTTTCGAATTACCCCCTCCGCGCGTGTTTTGAACAGGATGGCGACCTTCGACAATGCCGAGGTTACCCAGCACCTCTTCGCGAGCATCGCAGCCCTTCAGGAGGAGATGCGAGCGGATCGCGAAGCGTGGCGAAACGAGTTCGAGCGAGTAACTCGACTCGCCGAAGCGCAACACGAAATGACAACGGCGCCGACGCAGCAGTCGCATCAGTTTCTCAAGGCTCCGAAAGCGCGACCACCTGAGCCGTTCCATCCGAGCGATCGAAACTCCGACGTCCGCAGATGGATCGCCGGCATGGAGATCTACTTCGCAGCCGTCGGATGGAGCTCGCCAGTCTGGGACGGTCAACGCGTACGACTCGCAGCGACACTGGTGCAAGGGCCGGCACTCGAGTGGATCGGCGATAACAGCACGTTCATCCAAGGCGAAGCCACATGGCAGCAGTTCCGCACCGACCTTCTGAAACGTTTCGAGCCGATAAATTTGGGTTTCCTTGCCCGGGAAAAAATTCATTGCCATCGACAGTTCGGGAGTGTAGCGCAGTACACGCAGCAGATGGAGGAATTTTATAACCGCATTCTCGACCTGACCGAAGGGGAAAAAGTACAGTCTTACTTTGTCCAGCTGAAGACCGAAGTCAAACGACAAGTGGCAGCGACAAACTACGCGAGCTACAGTGACGTCGTATCGGCCGCGGAACGCTTCGACATGTTCAACGCCGGGACACGACGGGCGCACGTCGGCAGTACGCGACAGGGCGACCGCTCGGCTCACACCACGTTCGCCGACCCGATGGAAGTCGACAGGTTCGAAGGGCAGCCACGTCCGAAAAACACCAACTACACGTGTGATTTTTGCGGGGTGCCAGGTCATCGAATCTTCGACTGCAACAAAATGAAAGCCGCACGCGCTGAGTATTGGGCACGCAGCAGTAGCGGAATCCTTCGGCCAATCAGAAGCCAAAAAATGGGGCTCGCCAGTGATTGCGGATCTAGCTGGCGAAAAAGAAAGATCCGAAAGCGGCCGCGGACTTCCGGAAAAATCAACTTTGACGAAGCTGATTCGACGCAAACAGGAGAAGTGATGGGGAAAAATCTCCACCCCACGACCAGTCTTTGCCAGACGAATTCGCCGAGGAAAAATCTAACTCCGCGAAAAAGGACTCTGCCAAGACGGGAAAACTCCTTGAAGACCCAAGAAATTATACGGATTCGTTAAAGTTATCTTATAAAGATGCTTTAATGAAAATTTGTAATTCTCGAGGGGCTAGAGCCTTGCAGAAATTACGGCAGGGACTCCAGAAGAAGCAGAAAATTGTGGAGATCATACCGGTACCGGAGAACTGGGGGACCAAATTAAGGAGTGTGGAAAGAAGCCGACCTTTCCACGGAGTCAACGTCCTCTCCCGACACCAGCCCACAGCGACTACCCGTTCCCCAGGGAAGACGTCGGTGGAGCTGAAGCAGCTTAAAAGGAAGCTGGGGGTCTACAAGAAGCTGCAAAAACCCCGAACTCCTTCTTCGGATGCATCCAACTCGGCAACTTCGTCAACGACACGAACAGTCATCACGGAAACTCCGGGCCCTAGAGAAGAGCCTTTCTCCAAGCAGACTCGGCCAGCTGCTAGCTCAGGAGTAGGAAGCAACGAATATTTGGATGTACCCTATGACCCAATCAATGAAACTATCTTTGGGTACTCTGAGCAACGCATGCCCCTCGTGCTCGAGGTCATCTGCAAAGGACGATGCCTCCAAGCACTTGTGGACAGCGGAGCATCGCACACCGTATGCGACAAGGCAACCATCGACCGACTTCGGGAAGAGTACAAGCCATTAGCATTTTCTACAACGATGGTGGATGGCAGCAAGTTACCAGTGTACGGCGAAGCAGTGCTACACCTACAAATCGGTCCACTGCGCTGGAAACCTGCACTCCCCATCACCAACATAAAAGGGCTTGACCTGATCTTCGGGCGAGACTTCCTACAACGATTCAACCCCGAGATCAACTGGGTAAACCGCACCGCAAGCATCTACAACAAAGGAAGGAGAGTCCGGCTACCCAACTGGGACGATACAGGAGATATCCCAGTGGAGACACTCGCCAGATTCGCGAAGGACGTCAAGCGAACCAACACCGGATTCCTGGCGATAGCAACAGAGGTGGAAACCGACGGAGAGAAGACCTCGGAACCTCCAGGAAAAATCAAGGAATTACTGAAGGAGTTCCAAGACATTCTCCCCGACGACCTCCCGTACGAGCTACCGCCATACCGAACGCACCAACATGAGATCGTGGAGGAACCAGGTTCGAAGCCGACCTTCCGAGCACCATATCGGCTCAGCCCGATAGAGCTAGCCGACATGAAGAAACAGATCGAGTATCTCCTCGCCAAAGGACTCATCCGACCATCCACTTCACCATACGGTGCCCCAGTACTCTTCACACCGAAACCGGACGGAAGCCTGCGCATGTGCATCGACTACCGAGCTCTCAACAAGCAGACCATTAAGAAAAAATACCCAATTCCACGAATCGATGATCTGCTCGACCAGCTTCGAGGAGCCACGGTATTTTCAAAATTAGATATGCGGTCGAGATAATGGCAGTTAAGGATGGCGGACGATTCCGTTCACAAAACAGCCTTCCGAACTCGGTATGGATCGTACGAGTATCTGGTAATGCCGTTCGGACTCACCAACACACCGGCAACGTTCCAAGCAGAAATGAATCATATCCTATGCCCACTCTTGGACGAATGCGTGGTGGTGTACCTGGACGACATCCTCGTCTACTCGCACGACATGCAACAACACGTCGAGCATCTACGATGCGCCTTCGAAATTCTTCGACGAGAACGGTTCTACGTCAAACTATCCAAGAGTGACTTCGCACTCGAGAAAGTCCAATTCCTCAGACATATCGTAAGCGCTCAAGGAGTTCACGTCGACCCCAAGAAAATCAAAGCCGTACGTACGTGAAGACACCCGAGAACGTGAAGGAGTTACAGCAGTTCCTTGGCTTCGCTAACTACTACAACAGGTTCGTCCTGCAATACGCGAAGATCACCGCGCCACTCACGAATCTGCTAAAAAAGAACACGCCCTATAAATGGGGGCCACAACACTAGGAAGCCGTGGAGCAGTTGAAGCAAGCACTCACGTCCGCACCAGTACTCATCTTGCCAGACCCCGAACGCGACTACGTCATAGAAGCCGACGTCAGCGACCAGGCAGTGGGAGTAGTCTTGATGCAAGACCAGGGGAATGGACTGCAACCAATCGCCTATCTCAGCAAGAAACTACACGGGGCCGAACTCAACTACCCAATACACGACAAGGAGGCCCTGGCTATCATCGTCACCTTCAAAACATGAAGAAGCTATCTCGAAGGGCGCAAGACAACGGTCTACACCGACCATTGCAGCCTAAAATATTTGAAGACACAACCAAGCCTCTCCAGGCGACAGGTTCGGTGGATCGACTTCCTCGAGACGCACTTCCACTACGACATCGCGTACAAGCCTGGCCATAAATACAAAGCAGATGCGCTTAGTCGGCCTGCACACGTTGCCGCTATCCAAGTTGAAGGGATGAATCCACTCCTCAAGGGACTCTTCACACACGGGTACACCATCGACCCCGAAATTCCCTTGGTAGAAAAGCGACATCTGCTACAGTGGGACAACGACATCGCGTACCGGAAAGGATCAACGAAGATCTGGGTACCTAACTACCCTCCATTGCACCAGTTACTACTCGAAGAATACCATGACGTCCTGTACGCAGGACACTTCGGTAGCAACAAGACGCTTACCGGTATCGCCAAACACTACTACTGGCCCTACATGGCAGATGATGTACAGAAATTCGTCACCTCGTGCACTACATGTCAGCAGATGAAGAGCAGCAAGCAGAAAACGGTGGGTCTACTACAGCCTCTTCCTGTCCCGGAACAGCCATGGCAAGTGGTCAGCCTAGACTTCATCACCTGGCTACCAACTACCACAAGCGGTCATGACAAGTTCTCCAAAATGGGACACTTCATCCCGACACACACGACAGCACGCACCAAGAAGACGGCACAACTCTTTGTTCACTACATCATCTCACAACATGGCATTCCAACCACACTCATCTCCGACCGAGACCCTAAGTTCACCAGCAAGTTCTGGAAGGAACTAATGTCTCTGCTCGGGACCAATCTCGCCATGTCATCCGCATACCATCCGCACACAGACGGACAGACCGAGCGCCTCAACCAAATTGTGGAGCACCTCCTCTGTGCAGCCTGCAAGGACGAAATCTCCAAATGGGACTTGCATCTGCCCGTCCTGGAGTTTGCCTACAACAATGCTACTCACGCCGCTACTGGACAGACGCCGTTCTTCCTCTGCTACGGACGCCACCCACTCACACCTCAACAGCCAAACATACCAGCCACAGTCCAACCCGCTCATGAATTCATCACGACTATGCACAAACTTTGGGATCGGACCCACAAGCGCCTTCTCAACATTCACCAACAAGAGAAGCGCCAGGCCGATCGCCATTGCACAAACCACTCCATCACCATGGGAGATCGAGTCCTACTCGACACACGCAATCTTGACATCAGCCATCGCCCATCCAAACTGCGACCTCGCTTCTGCGGGCCATTTCTTGTTGAAGCACAGGTCACTCTTGTTACCTTCCGCTTACGCCTGCCAGCTACCAGGAAGATTCACAACGCCTTCCATGTCCAACTCTTGAAGCCCTACCGAGATCCCAACACGATCTTCTCTGGACGCCAACCACTGCCGCCGCTGCCCGTCCTCATCCATGATGAACCCGAGTACGAGGTCGAGTCCGTGCTTGCTCACCGCCGTCCTCGAAATGGCACCGTGGAACTTCTCATCCATTGGAGGGGTTATGATCCTTCAGAGGATAGCTGGGTCTCTGAATCCAAGATGGACCACGCTCGTCGTCCTCTTCGCAACTACCTTGTCAAGCAGGGTGTTACGTCTACCACCCAGCTTTGAGGGGGGGAAGTGTGAGAGTACGACCCTGTTCCATTCCTCTCTCCTTTCCATATTCCTTTTCCATTCCATTCCTCTTTTTATCCTGATCCATTTGGTTTTTATCTCATTCCATTTGGATTCATATTTCTCCTTTTCCATCAACCTTTGGTTTATCCTGTTATTATCATTATATCACCAACCAGGCTCAGGATGTACCAGTACGCTATATCTGGCATAATCCTGCCGTAATCCCTTAAAGCCAATAGCCTCGCGTGGCTATACGTAGGGTGATTCTATTTTCTAGAAGGGTCTATTCCCTTGGGATAGGATAAACCTGGTTACCTGATGTACTTTGGAAGTATAAAAGCGCCTTGTACTGATCGATAGTGCAACCTTTCCCCGACACATTCGATCCTGTGACACTAGGAACTGCTGCAACTCCTTCACGTTCTCGAGTGTCTTCCACGTGCGTACGACTTCGATCTTCTTAGGGTTGACGTGAACTCCATGAGCGCTCACCATGTACCCAAGGAATTGGACCTTCTAGAGGGCGAATTCGCTCTTGGATAATTTGACGTAGAATCGTTCTCGTCAAAGAATATCGAAGACGCGTCGCAGGTGTTCTACGTGCTGCTTCATGTTGCACGAGTAGATGAGGATGTCGTCCAGGTACACCACCATGCATTCGTCCAAGAGTGGGCATAGAATATGGTTCATTTTGGCTTGGAACGTTGCCGGTGCGTAGGTGAGTCCGAACGGCATTACCAGATACTCATACAACCCGTACCGAGTTCGGAAGGCAGTTTTGTGGATGGAATTGTCCGCCATTCTTACATGACAGTATCTGGACCGCAGATTCAATTTGGAAAATACCATGGCTCCCCGAAGCTGGTCAAGCAGGTCATCGACTCATGGAATCGGGTATTTGTTCTTGCTGGTCTGCTTGTTGAGAGCTCGGTAATTGATTCACATGTGCAGGCTTCCGTCTGGTTTCGGTGTGAAGAGTACTGGGGCACCGTATGGCGAAGTGGATGGTCGAATGAGTCCCTTTGCGAGGAGATACTGGATTTGTTTCTTCATGTCGGCTAGCTCTGTGGGGCTGAGCCGATATGGTGCTCGGAAGGTTGGCTTTGAACCTGGTTCTTCCACGATCTCGTATTGGTGCGTTCGGTATGGCGGCAGCTCATTCGGAAGGTCGTCGGGAAGAATGGCTTGGAACTCCTTAGGTAATTCTTTGATTATTTCTGGAGGTGCCGAGGCTTTCTCTCCGTCATTTTCCGTATGTGTTGCTATCGTCGGGAACCCGGTGTCGGTTCATTTCATGTCCTTCTCGAACCTAGAGAGTGTCTCTACAGGGATATCTGTTGTGTTGTCCCAGTTGGGTAGTTGGACTCTCCTTCCGTTGTTGTAGATGCTTGCGGTACAGTTTACCCAGTTGATCTCGGGGTTGATTTTTTAGGAAGTCTCGCCCGAAGATCAAGTCAAGCCTTTTATGTTGGTGATGGGGAGTGCAGGCTTCTAACACATTGGTTCGATTTGTAGGTGTAACATTGCTTCGCCGTACACTAGTAACTTGCTGCCGTCCACCATCATTGCAGAGAATGCTGAAGGCTTGTACTCTTCCCGAAGTCAGTCGATTGCTGCCTTGTCGCATACGGTGTGTGACGCTCCGCTGTCCACGAGTGCTTGGAGGCGTCGTCCTTTGCAGATAACCTCGAGCACGAGGGGCAGGCGTTGCTCAAATTACCCAAAGATAGTTTCATTAACAAGATCATAGGGTACATCCCAATATTCTGTACACACCTTTCCATTGCTATTTCCTCCTGAGTCGGCAGTTGGCCGAGGCTGCTTGGAGTTTCCTTGACAAATGTGTGTATCGTTGATGCCAATGTTGCTGAGCTGGATGCATCCGGGGGAGGAGTTCGGGGCTTTCGCAGCTTCTTGTAGACCCCCATCTTCCTCTTGAGCTGCTTCAGGTCCACCGACGTCTTCTTTGGGGAACGCGTAGTTCTTGTGGGCTGGTGTCGGGAGAGGACGTTGACTCCGTGGAAAGGTCGGCTTCTTTCCACTCTCTGTATTTTTTTCCCCAAGTTTTCCGGTACTGTTACGATCTCCAAAAAATTCCGCTTCTTTTGGTGTCCCTCCCCAAATTTCTCCAAGGCTCTAACCCCTCGAGAATCACAAGTTCTCATTAAAGCATCTCTATAAGTTAACTTTAACGAATCCTTATAATTTTTTGGGTCTTCAAGGAGTTTCCCCATCTCGGCGAAGTCTTTTTTCCTGGAGTCAGATTTTTTCTCGGCGATTTTCCCTGGCAAAGAGTGGCCGTGGGGTGGAGATTTTCCCCCATCATTTCCTCATGCTCGTGTCGAATCAGCTTCGTTGAATTTTATTTTTCCGTAATCCCACGACCGCTTTCGGATCTTTTCTTTTTTGCCAGCTAGATTCCCGATTTTTGTCTTCTGATTGGCCGAAGAATTTCCACCACTGTTGCGTGCCCAATACTCAGCACGTGCGGCTTTCATTTTATTACTGTCGAAGATTCGATGGCCCGGCACCCCGCAAAAATCACACAGGAAGTTGGTGTTTTTTTTACGTGGCCGCCCATCGTACCTGTCGATTTCCATCGGGTCGGCAAACGTGGGGTGAGCCGAGCGGTCGCCCTGTCGTGAAATGCCGATGTGCGCCCTTCGTGTTCCGGCGCTGACCATGTCAAACCGCTCCGCTGCCAGAACAACGTCACTGTAGCTCGCGTAATTTGTCGCTGCTACCTGTCGTTTGACTTTGGTCTTCAGCCCGGCGAGATACGACTGTACTTTTCCCCTTGGGGTCACTGGCCTCGGGTATGCTTGTTCTGGAGGTGCTAGTTCTAGGGGTGCTGACTCTGGGGGTGCTGATTCTGTGAGTGGTGCGTCAGGGGGTGCTAGGCCAGTGGGTGCTGTTCTGGAGATTATTGCTGGTGGCCGAGGTGGAGCTGGGGGTCCTGGAGAGGACAGGGTGCAGCAGCACCCGCAGCAGGAGCAACAGCAGTGGCAGAAGTGGCAGCAGCCGCAGTCCGCCCTTCGTATCCTTGGTCATCCCTCCGGTTCCCCTGACCGACTGCTCGTCCCGCCTCCTGTACCTCCCCCTGTTTACAGCCCGTTGTTCCCTCCCCTGGACTCCTCTCGGGCTCGCTTCCCCCCGCGCTCACCTCCCTCCCCTGTCCTTCCCCCCTTCCCCCCTGGTCCCCAATCACCTGTTCTTCCCCACTGGGCTTATCGTCCCTCAGGTGCTCGTCCTTCCTCTCCTCGTGCCCCTAGTGTCCACTCCATGGTCCTTCGTTTTCGTGCTCCTCCAATCCCCGTTCTTCCGTTACCTCCTCCGTCATCGCTCCCCCTGTCCTCTGCTCCTCCCTCTGACTCTGCTCGCACTGATCATCCTACCACCTCATGCTTGCTTGCGTCGCTTGTCACTGACCCTACCCCTCCTCCTGAGACAGTCTCTGCACTTATCACTGCTGTTGCTGACTTTGTTTCTAGTCACCGCCTTGACTACGCTGCCACTCTTGTCCCTGGTACTGCCCGTCCTCCGTCCATCGGGGGTGCACCTACCCTTGGCGGTTGCGTCCTAGAGGACATGCAGTACGAGTTGGCCTACCTTGCTGCCGCTCTACTCTGTCTCTGCTCCATGCTTGTATCCCCAGAGGGCGACCCGGACGCCTTGGAGATCCGTGTTCCGTGCTCTTATGTTGAGGCGGTGTCAAGGCCCTTGGCAGCCCGTGGAGGCAGAGATGGCATCCTACGCATCCATAGGCACTTAAACGGACTCAGTTTTCCCACCTGGGGCGAACGTAGTTGATGGCATGTGGATATACAGTAAATGGTGAAGCGCGCACCTGGAGAGCCGCCGATGATAAAGGCGCGCTACGTGGCTAGAGGCTTCAGTCAGCGAGAGGGTGTGGACTCCTTCCTGACCTTCTCCCCGACCCAGAAGATGACTACTCTTCAGGTGCTCCTTCACCTTGTCGCGCAGCGTCACTACAAGCTTCACTCACTCGACTTCTCTACAGCTTTCCTGCAGGGTCGTCTGCACGAGCAGATCTACCTCCGGCAACCACTAGGCTTCTCTGGATCTTTCCCACCTAGGACCAAATGGAGCATGTGCTGCCCTGTCTACGGCCTTCGTCTGGCGCCCTGTGAGTGGCACTACACACTCTGCACGACACTTGTAGAGCTGCAGTTCTTCCCGTCTTCTGCTGACCCTTCGCTCTTTGTTCGTGCGGGTCAGACCCCGTTCTACATCCTAGTGTACGTAGACGATCTGATCTTAGCTACTCCTGACAGAGACGTACTGGCCTCAATGAAGGCCGAGCTACTTAGGAGGCACACCTGCATAGACCTGGGGGAGCTGAGGAGCTATCTGGGCTTGAAGATCTCTCGTAACCGTGCCGCTCACACGATCACACTCTCCCAGTCCCATATGGTGCAGCAGATCCTTGAGAGGTTCAGTCTCCAATTCTCCTCAACACAGGACTCCCCTCTCTCTGTGGATCACAAGCTCTCTGCTCCTGTTCCGGCTGAGCTGGTCGCACCTAGTGTTCCATACGCAGAGTTGGTGGGGTGCCTCATGTACCTGATGATGTGCACTTGACCAGATCTAGCGTACACTCTCGGTCTCCTCGCTCGTTTTGTTGCAACAGGCAGGCATCGACCAGTCCACTGGTTGGTTGCCAAGAGGGTACTGCGGCATCTGGCGAGTACATCAAGACTTGAGCTTGTACTAGGAGGATGGGAGTCAGTGGTGCTCGCTGGACACACAGACGCGTCCTGGGCTGACGACTTGGAGATGCTCAGGTCCTCTCAGGGCTACTCAGTCTGTCTTGGTTTTGGTGCATTCTCTTATAGGTCCACTAGGTCATCGTCTGTAGCTTAGTCCAGCTGTGAGGCAGAGATCTACGCTGAGGCCATGGCCGCTCAGGAGCTCCTCTGGCTGTCGTTCTTGCTCACTGACTTAAGTGAGCAGCCTAGGTCCGCCCCGCTCCTGTTTGGTGACAACAGGGCCATGATCCTCCTGTGTCAGGAGGCTTGATTTGAGGGCAGGGCGAAGCATATCCAGCTGCAGTACTTCTTGCTGCGTGTGTTGCGGCAGCGCGGTCAGGCTCGTGTAGTGCAGTTGGCCTCAGAGACCAACATCGCTGATATCTTCACCAAGGCACTACCGCCTCGTGACCATCAGCAGTTCTGTACTCAGCTTGGTCTAGTCTCAGTAGCAGCTCTGCTCCTTGTATCCTGATGCATACTATACATGCTTGTACTTGCTATTCTATACTTGCATGTCTTGTTACACTTGCTGACTGGCCTTGTGGCCTCTTGTCTAAGTGGTCAGACTAGTAGTGCTGCCCTGAGTTGTCTTGTTACCTTCACCAGAGGCCAGACTATTAGTGCTGCCCTGGTTTGTTAAACACTTCCTCTGCAAACATACAGACTAGGCTAGGGGGTGTGTCAACAAACATACTTGCATATCTAGTTAGGTTTCATATGTTTGTTACTATATATTATAGCTTGGACAGCTCTTAGAGGGGACAACCCTTGTTCTTGTATATCCCCCTCTCCCTTCCTAGTCCCATTTTTTCCGCACTATAGCTACAGTACAGTGACGTCCGTTTGCATTGAATGTCCCCTCCTTATTCCGTGGGATGGTCACGGCTAGCGAACTGGGCCCACAGAAACGGTGAATGGTACTAGTACACGCCTCTCATTAAGCCCCGGGGTATTTTAGTAACAGGAGCGACAGGACGAGCGCGAGATGGATGGCAAGACCAGATGTGGGACGGAGGCGTCAGGTCAGGAGACACAAGAGGAGTAACAGGAGGGGAACAAGGGGGGAAATGAGCCACAGACAAGTCCTGCAGAGGAAAGATAGGCCGTAGATAGGAAGGGGAGGAGGCGGCGGGGGAGGCGCAAGCGAGCTGTCAGGGGAGGAAAGGCCGAGCAGGCGAAGGGCAAACACCGCCAGCGACTACTGCTGCTGCTGCTCCACGCCGACACCCAGACCGACAGCTGCACCACGGCTACCTCTGGAACACTCCACTCCAGCACCCCCAGAACGAGCACCCCCAGAACGAGAACCCTCTCCAGCACCGGTGCCACCCCCAGGACCACTGGGACAAGCCACGTCAAGAACCCCAGGACTAGCACCCTCCTCAACGCCAGCACCCCCAGAGGCCACGGACGGCTGCTGCTGCGGCGGCGTCTGCTGTTGTGACTGCGAGGACAGCTGCGGCTGCTGCTGCGGTGGCGGCGGCGGCTGCTGCTACGACGGCAAAGGAGGAGACACAGAGGGAGCAATAGGCGGAGTCAATTCGGTGGATGGACTAGGGAATAGCGGTGGTGCATTAGGGACGACACCACGCCCCCCCTTGGGGCCATGACGGCCCCGATGCGGGCGCAACTGCGGGGACGCCGCAGCTGCAATCTCTGCGGCAGGGGCAGTCGCAGCGACCATGGCTGAAACGCCAGCGTACGTGCACTGGGAGGGCGCACACCCCTGAAAGATAGGGACTGCCTCAATACCGCTCGACTGAGCGATAGTG